AATTTTGGCAAAAAATTACCATCTATTATTATTGAAGACACATTTTGAGCGATTGATACGTTGAGAAAAAAATTTATTTTAAAATAACATTTCAATTTTATGCAACCTTCAAACGTATGAAAAACTAAAATCTGACTAGTACGCTAGATTCCTCTTTCCATCAGCTTTCCAATGAGGGGTCGCAAGCCATAGGGTTACATTTGAAATAATCATGTTGAGGGTGGTTTCAGCTACCCATGGAGAAATATATTCTCGATATTGCTGGCAAAAGGTAGGTACATTGAATCGTTGATGTATGACGGGAATTTGAAAATATATATTCACCTCCCTGCCAACGAATTTATTCCAATCAAAGTCTCCACACTGTATATTCTAGGAATGTTCGGAGAATATTCGGAATATATATACTCCGCTTTCTTACCATATTTAGAGAATATTCTAGGAATGTCCAGTGCTGTCTGATGGGGCCGTTCTATAGACAAACGAGTTCTTATAAAGTGCTGTTTATACATGATATATTTCGAGGTTGACAACGAAAGGATGTGCTGACTGGGCTTGTCGAGTTCGTCTGACTGGATTTGCTAGTGATGGTATGAGATTTCTGAAGAACACTTCCCGTGGTCGCTGACCAAAGAAGTTTTCGAGAATTAACTATTTTTTTGAGAATAATTACCGCCCTAGTAGTTTACGAATACTGTATCTCTCAAACCGTTCAAAATTACGAAAACCGAGAAGAAAACATTTGTATCATGCGAGGTATCATGGCAAAATAAGACATATTTTTTTATTTTCATGGAATAACTCGATGTTTTATTGAGTTAGGTATATAGGGCATATTTGAGTAACTCATTCTCAAATTTAATTTTATTCCCTATGGAGTCAAAAAAATAGTAAGTGCTATTTGGAAAATTTGAGATTTCGACCCGTTTTATGGTACAAAATAAGACCATCGATAGGACCTCGGGAGTTAGATTGGACTTAGTCTGGTGGACCAAAGGTCTGCAAGGGACAGCCAGGGCAAAGCTTGCTGGCCTTCAGCGACTGGCATGCCCGGCCATTACAGGGTGATGTCCTCTACTACAACGGCAGCGATGGAACCTCCTGACTTCACTCCCCTCCATATTATCTTGGAGAGGGAAGCCAGGATAATTTCCTGCAGAGTCCTGTCACTCAAAAATGAAATAAGAGGGGGGCGATTGCTGGACCACTCCGTGTGAAATGAAATATCACCAAACTCTAGGAATGGTTCCCGACATGTTAGCTACTCAGACACACTTGAAAATGTCTCTTAAAGTCCTCTTCCCGAAGAGAGGCGAGTGGGTAAGTTGATCAGTCCAATTCCCAGAGACCAAACACGTACTGTACACAGACGGTTCGAAAACCCCTCTCTTGGAGTTGGAGCCAGTGTGTTCAGCAGAAAACCGAAGACGGAAATCTCTGTCAATATCGGTAAGTATGCTACAATCTCTCAGGCAGAGGTCTTCGCAATTGAATTGTGTGCTAGAGAGTTGACGAATAGACCTCTAGTAAACAAAAACATCAGTATTGTATCAGACAGTCAGGCTGCTCTTAAAGCACTGAGCTCCAGCAAGATAAATTCCAAGCTTGTATTAAGCGGTATTGAATCCCTAGAATGCCTGGGTGCAGCAGAGTTACTGTGCTGTGGGTGCCTGGACACCAGAGGGTGGAGGGCAGCAAGAAAACCGAAATCCTCGCCAAACAGGGAACCGAATCTGTGTTCATAGGACCAGAAACATACTTTGAGGTTTCCGCAAGTGCGACCAAAACAACTATCTCGGACTGGACGGAGGGGAAAAGACTCACGGACTGGTCTGAATTACCAGGATTAACCCATTTAAAGGCGTTTCTGCCTGAACCATCGAAAAATATAACCACAGGCAGATCCTAGAATTGAGCAGAGCAACGAAACGGCTGAACACATATTATGAAAAATGAAAATCTTTATTTAATATATATTCAGTCGAGTATTCAGTTACCTAACTTAATCTATCATATTGATGAAACACACACACACATACACACCCCATTATATATTATTCCTAATATATGCAAGTAGCATTGATTTGAATGAATTGAGTGTTGAGCATTTTCTTATGCAGTTTGGAAGTTCGTTATATTTCAAAAGTCCTTGGTGCAATAAAGAATTCATGGTTTTAGTATAATTAGTTCTCATAACATAAAATTTTTTATTTTTCCTAGTAGCATAGTTGTGTATTTGATGACAAAATGTTATATATATGGTCTAAAGTGAGCCGGACATAAATTATGCAATATTTAAAAATGAATACCATTGAAGAATAGAACAGTCTATCCTTTACAGATAACCAATTCAATACATTCAGCATAAGTTGAGTGGGTGTATACCTGTTACATCTGAGAACAATAATACGCATACCCCTATTCTGAAGTTTTTGGAGAGAAGCAATATTATTATTACTAAATAAGTAGAGCAGACTAGCACATTATTCATAATGCGGTTGTATGATTGTTTTATAAACTGTTATAGATGCTCGTACACTTAAATGAGATGTGATTCTAGACAGAAAAAAAAGTTTTTCACTGATTTTTTTGGCAGCATATTTAAAATGATTTTTAAATGACAAGATATTATCAATAATGAATCCTAAGTATTTCATCTGTGTGGCGACTTCAATTATTTTCTCATCAAATATTTTTATATTAATCTGGTCTATGTCGATTTTACTATATTTATATTTAGAAGTCATAATCATTGCCTTAGTTTTTTGCACATTTAGCTTTAACTTATTAATATTGAAATATTCTGATATGTTGTGCAATGAGGTATTAATCTTTTCGACTGCCGTCTTCAGACTTTGGTTACTTGCAACTATTATAGTATCTATAGGTGATTTGGCAATTCGTAGGCTTATAAAGGGCTTATAAGGGCTAATTGGCTAGCTGGCTAATAAATGGTGCACTCACACTCAATTCATCTATATTACTATATCCATAACAACAATAATATCAAAACATCGCGAACATAATACAAAGGAATTCAATAAATATAAATCTTCAACAGTATCATCTACAAAAAGACTTATAAATTCACATTCTTTAACATAACTTATTATGTCATTCAAGTAGAGAATGAATAATAGTGGCCCTAATACGCTACCTTGCGGTACTCCAGAGATGACTGATTTTTTTGTTGATATAACATTATTTACCTTTGTTGATTGAAAGCGATTAGAAAGGTAGTCTGTACCATTTTAGAACATAATCATCAAATCCATAATATTGAAGTTTCTTCATCAATATTGAAATGTCTATAGTTTCAAATGCCCTTTTCAAATCTTAAAAAACTATTACAATATACTCATCTTCGTCCATCAATAATTTCCATTTTGAAATTGTTGCTCGTAATGTTTTATGTTTTATTTATACATATTCGGCTTTACCAATTTAGAACCCATCGATTTCAGAAAAATCTCACCTAATTCAACCATGGACTTTGTAAAAAGATGTGGATTGTACAGTGAACTGTAACCTCAAGGGGTGAGCCACAATAGACCCATCTGGGGTCGCAGTGGAGGGGCGGTATTCGCCCCTCTCACATGGAACCTAACCTAATCTGGACTTTCAGCCAATGAACTGAATGTAGAGTTCATTGCTTTCAGCTAATTGTTCCACGAATTTGGTGCCCTAATTTTGAACGGTTCGCGAGATACACATGTTATTCGTAAACTACTATGGCGTTAATTATTTTCAGAGAAATATCGAAAACTGTGATAGATAAGTTGATAAGAACTAGGTTGTCCAAACTCTTGTAAAAATAAATTCAGGTTCCTATTACTTGAAATAGGAAATTAGGTGCCGACTCTGGACATACCCTGATGTATGAAGCTGGAGGACTCAAAATATTCAGATAGATTTGAAATCATCGATTATAACCGATATTATAACAAAGCAATGCACTTTTCAAGTTTTCAATCCCAAACGTTAATCTACAATTTCTGTGGTCTACAAAGCCAATATTCAGGGTGTGAAATTAGGAAAATAAATGAAATAAATGATAGAAGACGAAAAAAAACAAAACGAAATGAGATAATCCATTTTGTAAATAAAATAATATTTCGGATGATATTTAGCCTCAAAGTTTGCCTGAAACTCCTGTAAATAATTGATCAGAGTTTGAATGCCCAACCCTAGCGTTTGCTATCGGCGAGTAACCGACCACCGGAGGTATTAATGTTGCCAGACGTTCAATAATAGTTGAAAGATGTACATGTACAAAAATAGAGTTGTGATTTGTTTGTGTCGTTATGTGTCATGGAACACCTCATTTCATTCACTGCCCCAATTTCGGAAACACCCTGTATTCAGGAGTATAAAATATCATTGAAATAGCGAATTATTATGGGACTCCACAGGATTTTTCCAAAAAACTACTTGGAAGGTGAATAAATAGTTTACGCTATCCGCATTCTGACCTACTCATATAGGGTGTTTTAGACAAGATCAGTTAGTTAACTATATTTCTTCAGCCAAAATAATATGGATCTACTTGCCCTGTATACCCAAAAAAGGGGCCCAGAATGAATGTTAGCTTCATAAAAGTTATCAGTTTGCTCAATACTTCTTTTTTACGTGTTTTTTCGCGAAAAGTTTAATCGATGTGTTGGAGGTACTGGCACAGCTTCCGTTCATGCACTTTTTCATTTTTTATGACCGATTCTTGGAAAAAAATACTTGTACATCACAGAAATTATCATTGCCTATATCAGTAAGGTATACCTACAGGTTTCGTAGAGATCCGAATTGACCATCATATCTAGAATCGTTCTGGTTGGTCTAAAAATGCATCCATACCGGAATTCATGGTTATTTGAGTTCTCACATAAAAAAAATCTGTTACCGCGACAGCCCTAGTTTCAAGTAGTTTCCGCATTCGAATAGATGGGTCAATCTGTGTCTCAGATCTAATACGACTAAAACAAAAAAAAACACCTTGCAGGTTCATGAGCGTCGGTCCAGTCCGCTACGGCATGCGGGTGCGTCCAGGCTCCCCCCCTCCCCCTGGAGCCGGCCCCCGATACCGCTCCCGCAGCTGCTGGCCCGCGACCCTCTCCGACAGTGGCAGAGACCCCGATGACCCCCCTTTCCCCCTCACAACACCGACACCTATTAATAGCCTCGATATAATTAGTTGCGTAAATAGAATGAGGATACGCGACGTCGGGCCGCTCGCTCGCCAATCGAGAGTGTTCCCCGGCAAGAAACGGACCCCAGGGTATGCCAGACTGTCCCCTGGCGGAGACCCTGTCACCCTGGACCGCCTACCGAGGTTCCGCTTCGGCGGGAATCGCGCCCCCACCGACCAGAAGTTCAAGGAGTTCGCCGAGAGGCTCAGGAAACCCGCCGCTCCAGTACCGCCGCCCAGGACCAAGAAAAACACCCCTCCGCAATCTCCGACGCCGCTGGTGCCTCTGCGCAGCGCGTCCTTCTCGCAAGTCGACTTCTCCGTCGACGACAACAAGTACGTGAGGCGCAAGCCAGACTCTCCTCAGCCCAAGGAAGTCTCAACTCTGCCCAGGCCGAAGAACAACTCCAGGCCTCGGTTAGACCTCGACATCTCCGAAGAAACAGAGCCTACTAACATCCCCGAAGTGGAAATCACCCCAGTATCCCCGGACAAACTCTCCCCGCGCATCCAAGAGACCCTTCCTGGCAAGAAAAGAGAGAAGTCTAGAAGGCGAAAAGGCATCTACATCTCCCAGTGGCCCAACACGGAGGACGTGATCCCGCAATTTGTCGCCGAAGGCGATTTCCCCTGCGTGGACCAGCCCTCGAGAGCCCTCAAGGACTTCCCGATATGGAGCAGCCCGCAGGAGGAACCCCTGAGCCCGGAAGACGCGAGCTCTCCGCCCGAATGGCCCAGGGAAGAGAAGCTCTCTCCTCGGAGCGCAAGCCTCTTTCGGTCGGGCTCGCTCTCAGAGGGAGAGCCTGAGCAGAGCCAGATTTCCCTGGTGCCTTCGGACCTCTCGGACTGCGAGAGCAGGGTAAGCTTGAGCGCTGAGCCTACTAGCCCTAGGGTGCCCAGGAGGTATTCGAAGAGGCCGCTGCGAGGTCCTTACGGGCAGATGCTGGAGAACGAGATGAAGAAACCAGACTGCCGGATGAATCTCAACGACGAGCTGCAGTTCCTGGAAGATTTGTCCAGCGCTAGTGTGTCTTTGAACAATATAGCTCAGGGAAAGCATGCGAGGTCCCGGAGCTCGTGCAGCACTTTGCAGGAGGGTTTGTCCAAGGAGGACGCGATCGAGCACGTGTTTTTGGGTTCGCCGAAGCAGATGAGCAAGAGGAAGGTGAGTGCGGATAATTTGGTGGTGAGCGGGGAGGACGATAGGAAACTGGTGGTCAGTCACCAGAGGACGACTTCGAGTCCTTCCAAGCTGGAGGTGTTCAGCAATCCGGAGGTTAACTGCGAGTTGCTGGAACGGCTGCTGAGAGGGAGTTCTGAGCAGCTGGCCGCTGCTGATCTTCAACGACACAATGTGAGTAGAATATACAGTAGAGATTTAGAAATTCAGTCCTTCAACAAAAACTCGAAAAGAGTTTCTGAACATTTGAGAAGATATCGCGGTGGGTGAAACAAATATAGAAAAATAATCGTCCCAACTCTCAGAACTTGTCGAATGTTTTTGTACTACTTACTTATTCGTTGATTGCTTCGCGGAAATCTATAGAAATTCTACGACATGTGGACTGAGAAATAGAGTTGTAGGTCGACACTTTTGTTGGATAAAAATAACACTGAGACGATGATTAATATTATGCCTCGTATTAACTGAACAACATAATCTAAAACTCGTTAGTAGGAGTTATGGTATTTTTCAAATAACACTTTCAGAATGGTCACTATTAAAGGACCAGAAGAATTTACTACTCATCAGAGAATTCCAGAAGTTGAAATAGGCCAATCAATTTGGCATTTAAAGTTAAGAATAAGACAAAATAGCAAAACAATGCATATTTCTACAAAAGTTGTATTTTAGTGCTCAATGAAACTATACAAATTTGCCTTCTCATACAGGACTGACAACTTTATTGTAGAGGAAAGAATGTATCTATTCTTATTCGTTTTTTGATACTACTTCTAATCGATCTTGAATTTTCATACCCGTATTTCAGGAGTGAATACGAGTTTCAGATGATATCGATACACAGGGTGTTTCTTATTGAATATATTTCGACTTTAGAATCCAGAACTTGAAATATGAAAGTTCAACCCAAAACTCGTATATAAAATGTGTATCATGACTGTCATGTCTGATTCACAGGGTGCTTCATTTGAAAATTCAAAAAGTATTTCTGCTCAGTACTTCAAACCTATTTTACGTATTATTTTCATATTTGGTGGGGAGTGTATAGGTACCTACAGTACAACTAACTGAATTATTTTGAATAAACGTTTCTGGTTACTATCGACGTACGACTGGGGCAAGTGACTGGTTCATCCTACCCAAATTCTTCTTCACTGGCGACACAATTTCTCGATTCTCCAATGCTTCCTACGTGAACATCGTAGTATTTCAACTACTAAATAGCCACAATGCTCAAAGGGGAATGAAATGCCGAATAAACACAAAAAGCTCAGGGTCATTTCCTCACAATGTTCATAAAATGAATATCAATAGTAGATTTCGGGAGAAAAACAACTCCTTTCCTGGCTGATGCCAAGCAGGACATTGAATTACATCTTCCCGAAATTTATGCATCGACTCGAATAAACGAATGGGAATTTTGGTTTTGGAGTGTTTCTTTCCTTCCTTATTTCTACTCAGATGGCGTTGCTCTCATAGTGTCTTCGGGGGACGCCTCTGAGGGAATATAATGCCGACTTGATTTTTGTTTGGCTAGGCTACGCTTCTTAGGACTGCTGGCTGGAGACTGCCCTGCACTGATGAGAGTCAAAGAGCTCGAAACCGGTATTTAGGTGCCTGGTGTGGCCTGGCTGAATCGAAATTGATAGGCATTCAGGAAAGAATCACTTGTATCAGTATTCGTTTATAACGAGTCGATGCATAGATTTCGGGAGGATGTAATTCAATGTTCTGCGTGGCATTAGCCAGGAAAGTAGTTGTTTTTCTCTCAAAATCCACCATCGTATTTATTCAACGTAGTATTTCTGCTTAGCGATTCAGTCATTATTTTTCGAAATATTTTGAGTGAAGCACAAATAAGCTGTACAATTATTTCGATTTTAATGTGTATTAATTTCCTACACCGCTGTATCAGGTCATTGGATTGCATTTATTACTCAAATGAAACTTCAGTCTGTATATTAACAAAAAAACATGACATTATCAATTTTAATTTTTTCAAATAACACTCTGTTATTCAAGAAACATTTTACACACATGATTTATGTGGATTAAATCTTCATATTTTGTCCTCAAGATTCTATAGTTGAAATACCTATGTCCAATTAGTAATCAAACAATAATAGTATATTATGTAACAAGTGTTATAAACGTCTTTTTAGTAACGAGTATTTTAAGCACGAGCGGAGCAGAGCGGAGCAGAGCGGAGCGAGTGTTTAATAAACGAGTGTCTAGAAGAGGTTATAAACGCGTTACATACTATGATTTTTCTACGAACTCCAAAAATTACATTAACATACCTGCTATTTCTGCTAACCTATAAATGATTCGAAAGGAATGGGAATTGAGAACATAATACATACAACTGCATGCAACCAGCGAGACACGTAAAAGTGATATTGGTTGCAGATGTGTCCAGTCCATTGCTTACTAAACTTTGTTTCATGCTTAGCGCAGAATAAATAGATTGTTCTCAAAGATGGATGCTTCATTTTTACACTTCTTGGAAATAGGCAAGTACCAAAACATTCTCTTCGATTTCACTTTCGTCTACATTTCGCATATATTTTCAATGAAGAATTCTGATACAAAATTCGAAAATAACAGTTGACATTTAATACAATTGACAGGCCAGACATGTCTCAAATTACTGAAGCTGTGTTTAATAAACTGTGTTGCCATGGTAATGTGTTTAAGAAATCGTGTTGCCATGGTAACGTGTTTAATATTTCGAATAAATCACAGATCGTCAATTCGTGATTAATCGATCATTTAGCGTGGTACATATCCGTACGCTAAATGCCATTTTAGTTATGTGAGTAGAGAAAAATATATTTGGAATATGGAATGAATCGTAGTTCAAGTGCTACATTTTGAATCTGATAAAATGTAGGTTCATATCTTTCAGAATCGCTCCTGGTTGCCATTGTTTGAGATTTTTAGGAAATGGAGGGACGAGTGATACCTCCTGAAACATCTTTCTAAAGACACGATAGAACACTCATTTCTTGATAAAACACTATCACGTTGAGGAAAGGCACAGAAATTAACAATAATTAAGATCAGATTGTGAACTATTTGAATAAAGCCTTAAAAAATAAGATTGTTTATCGAAAACTTATTTTAAGGGTGTGTATAACTTGCGGACTGGCTATTTCCAGCAGACAAATCGTTGTTTTCATTGCATATATAAATTCAGCTCATCGAACGACACGATAAAAAGTTTTCGAATTTTTTCCCCAGCCCCCCTTGGGAGCACTTTATTCGTGTGTTTTTTCATAAAATCTTGCAGACTGGGTATTTTCGCAAGTCAAATCAACTCAATTTTATCAACAATCAATTTATCTCATAAAAACACACGACGATGATGATACACTCATCATCGTGTATTTTAATGAGATAAATCGATTTTTCAGGGGGGCTAGGGAAAAATTTCGAAAAATTTTCATCGTGTATTTTCATGAGATAAATCGATTATTAGTTAAGTTGAGTTGATTTGGCTGGTAAAAACACCCAGTCCGTAAAATTTTATGAAAAAACCCACGAGTAAAGTGCTCCCCAGGAGGGCTAGGAAGGAATTTCAAAAACCCTTCATCGTGTATTTTCTTGAGATAAATTAAATTTTAGTAAAATTGAGTTGATTTGACATGCAAAAATACCCAGTCCGCATGATTTTATGAACAAACACACGAGTAAAGTGCTCAGTGAAAAAAATCAGAAACTTTTTATCGTGTACTTCGATGAGCTGAATCCAGATATGCAATAAAAACAATGATTTGTTTGCTGGAAATAGCCAGCCCGCAGCATTTTATTCAAGTCCGCAAATTATACATACCCTTCTTTTAATCTGTGGAAGAAGTCCATGAAAACTCCCATCTATCATAGATGAAAATACTGAAAATGATTTTACTGACGAAATCTATTTTTGAGTTTGAAAATATTGGAGTAAACGGATTTCCATCAACAAATACACTGAACTGTTTGTTGATTCAAACGTTTTTGTTTTCTCGTGAACTCTCGGGGAAACTCGTTTATATTTTGACAAATATGTATTCGAGGTTCTAGTTTTCTCGACCACCAAATTATCGAAAGGTTTTCAGCAGGAATTTCGGTGCCAATAAACTTCTATAACTTGAAAGCTTGAATATACTTCGAAGGAAGGAAGGAAGGAATGGTCGAAGTCATCTCCACAAATTTTAATGGTATTGTTACACAATCATAAGGGACATGATTCGGTCTTATAAAAGACCATCTTCAGCCTAATTGAAAGTTCTACAATACAAAAAGTTTGATGAGAAATAATTACATAATTTGTGCTTGACTTACTTGGAGTTGAAAATTTTGATGCTACTAGTTGTGGAATTGTTGTCAATGCACTTAGTCGGAAAATCAAATTTATGAATGAAAAAATGGGTTCCCAATAAATGAAGGGCGCCGTGCCCTGAGAGCGCAAACCATTATTCTCATTGAAATTTCATATACCAAAATGGTATATGAAATGGTATGGTAATTGCCAGAAGGTTTTGTTTTGACAACACCATAAATTAACGGTTTAAAAAAAGGGTTCCCCGTGCCCTTATGAAAGCGCTACTGAACGAAAATATCAATGAAATTGATGGGGCAAACAGCCAGCACGTGTTTGAATCTAAACTAATTGGGTTAGAGAACACTGAAAATAATATCAAATAATGACGTTTACAAGACGTTGACATAAGTCAAAGTCAAGGGATAAAACATGAAATTCCGACAATGAGCATAGGCATGTAACAATAGCTTATACAACTACTCAAAGAATGGAGGGATGAGGAGGGGGGATGCATGTAAGGGAGAATTGAGCAAACCTGAAAACCATTGACTATGAATATACCATGGAATAAACTAACAGCGATTAAATCCAAAGCATTGAAAAATTTGGTACATTCTTCGAGCATTCCTTCCATTGAAAAATGTCTCTCCACTTATTTGAGCAGCATGGAATTCTACCAGAGATTGAATGAGGCATAAAATATGGGTCGTTTGATAAGCAAAACTCGGCAAAATATGAGGACATTTATTATGAGTTTGTTTTCATATTTGTTATAATACAGGGTGTTGCCAAGCGCCATTTACAGGGTGTTTCAAAACGCTTTATTTTGTTTTCCCTATTTCCAGATCATCTATACAGAAAAACTGACCTAAGAGTCCATAGAGCTTGATGATTTTTGTGAATCATCGTTTGGTGTAAACCGCATTAACTCTCCAGGGTTGGGATATAGTATGAAATCGAG